CGGTTTGGACTGGGGGTCACCCACTCAGCTCATCTGCAGGCTGCACATTCACAGTCCTGGCTGTCCCCCTTAAACAGTCCAGAGAGGGCAGGCACTGTACCTGCGGCCACACAGCTGGCCTCTGCCAGAGCAGGATCCTGGGCTCCTGGGGTGGGGGGTAGGGGAGCTGCCCCCAGCACCCCGAGGGAGAGGCAAGGAGGGAGCCACGGCTGAGTCTGCAGGCGCCTTCGGGAGGTGGGAGCGAGGTAGGGGTGCCCTGGGCACAGGCACCGGGGAGCTTCGTCCTCTGTTGTTGGCATGGGAGGAGCCGGGCAGCTCCTTCGGAGCCGTCTGTCCCTCCCGAGTTGTCCCCGTGGCCAGACAGACACGAGGGTCTGGGCACAGAGACTCAGGCTCAGGGCTCCTGCAGACCCAAGTTCGAATCCAGCTCTGTCCCCGGGCTGTGGACAGAGGAAGTGAGGGCAGTCAGTGGGAGGATCCCAGGCCGCCCCAGGGTCCCGGCTCTGCCTGCTGCTGTCTGCGCAGGCGCCCGTCCGCCTGGCCTGCCGCCCTGTTCCTCCCGGCCTTGAGGCCGAGCTGCTGTTTGCCTGATCGGTCCTGGGGCTCTGAAAAGGGGCTCTTTAGAGGGTTGTGGGGCCTCTCCCACCTCCCCTGCCTGATGCCGCGACTGCCTCTGTGAACTGGGACACAAACTGTCACCCCCACCACACACACACACAGGTCTCGGGGCCCGTGGGTGAATGGTTCCAGTTTGTGGCTTCCGCTCGTGTCCGCGTGGCCACTTGACCGGGTATTGGGTTAGCTGACCTTAAATCTACGTGAAAACAGTCGTCAGCGAAGGGTCAGCGCATGAGCGTGGCTGCGTTCCAATAAAACTTTATTTGCAAAAACAGGCTGAGGGCCGGCTGGGGCTCGTGGGCTGCGGATTGTGACGCCAGCAACTCCTCCATGCGTGACGTGGGGCGGAGGTTGCCGTGGGGACAGATTGGTGAGTTCAGCAGGAGGGACGTGTGACGGGCGGGAACTCGGATGTTAGCCGACAGCGTGCACGTGGCCTCGTGTGCTCCCCCGGCTGCCATGCCCGCTGGGTTTCTGGTCTCTCCTCTCAGATGGGGAGACTGGGATGCAGACACTGCTGGGTGACCTGGGTACACCCCCACGCCTCCTCGGGCCTCTGTCCCCACCCCACCCCCCCAGCCTCAGGGAGCCCTCGCTGATGTCACCCACAGGGCAGGATGATGTCATCTGTAGGTGGAGGGCAAATGGCGGCCGGGGTGGGCGGAGTCCCTGGCGGGGCTGGGATCGGGCGCCCCCGCTGGCCCAGGGCTCCCCTGGGACTTCATCCCTGTGGGGTGAGAGCACCCCAGGGCCCTGGTCCCTCGCCAGGGCCTGTGTCTCCCTGCTGGGGCGTCTGTGGCCAGGCTGAACTGGATGCGGTGCGAGCCCCTTGTTCACTGTGACAGATTCCCGCGGCCCCTCCCCTCCCCCGAGCCTTCTGGGGCTCCCCATTGCTTGCAGGAACAAGGCCACCTCCTTCCTGGGGTCTCCGTGACTGAGCCCACTGGGCCTTTGCATCTTCCTCTTCCTCGCTTGCCCCTAGGGCCCTAAGCCAGGGTCCCTCGTGCCTCTGCCTTGGTGTCCTAGAAAGATCACCCTAGGGCTTGGAGCCCCTCTCGGTTTCTCTCCCTGTAGACTTTATTTGCACCCTGAAGCCCCTCTCGCTCGCCGCCTCCTCTGGGAAGCCCTCCTGGATGTCCTGCTCTCCTGCCAGGGCCCATGACACAGGGCAGCCTTTTGTTCCCCACAGGGCTTGTGCTCTGATGTGCGGGTTCACGTTCACCCGAACTTCCTTCCCCCAGGCTGGGCGCAGGGCCTGCCTCAGGGTCCCCTCTCTGAGTCCCGTGCCCAGCACACAGCCAGGGACACACAGGGGGTTGGGAGGCAATGCTGTAGCTGGCACCAGGTGCGGGTTTGGGAGATTGATTCTGCTCATGGGACATTGCGCGCCATGTGGGTGCTGGGGGTGCCTGAACCCATTTTCCAGGTGAGTAAGTAGAGACTCAAGCAGCCCAGGTGTCTGAGGCAGGGTCACACAGGCTGGCAGTGACACGGCCTCTTTCTGCCCAGTGTGCCATCGTCCCACAAGGGACTCCCCGGCAGAACCTTTCTCTGGGACACAGCGGCGCTCGGAGGGCTTCCGTGGGTGAGCAGAGCACTCGCTCCGAGAACGGATTTTCCAAAATTCAGACGTGTCCTGGAATCTGGTCTTCCCGGTGATGGGCGGGAGGCTGTGGGGTTCTGCTTCTGCGTGAATTGTCTCATTTTATAAAAATAGTTACCGCAGAAGGGCTTACGGTGCAGCAGGCAGAACGCTGGGGGCTCAGCCTGGGAGGATGCGGGGGTCAGAGAGGTATAGCGTCCTGCCCTGGGCCGCCCAGTGTTGGGTCCAGCGCCGCTTGGCTGAGCTGTGGGCAAGAAAGCAAGAGAGTAGAGAGGGCAGAGGGAGAGGCAGGCTGCGGAGCGCCCAGTGCAACAATAGTAGCAATACCAAGAGCAGCTGCCCTGTCTGGGTTTTTTGTCTTTATTTTCAGTTCATTTGAGAGACACAGAGGCATCTTGCCTTCCCTGGTTCACCCCTAAGTTGGCCACCAGAGCCAGGGCTAGGCCAGGCGGAACTCCATCCAGGTCGCCCACGTGCCTTGCAGGGACTTTAAGAACTTGTGCCATCGCCCCCTGCCTCCCAGGGTGCACTTGAGTAGGAAGCTGGGTCAGAAGCCAGAAGTAGGCATTCCCAGAAGGGATGCATGTCCCAGGGGGTGGAAGACCACCCCCAGAGCAGCTCCTGTGGACTGGGGTCCCCTGGGTGCAAGGGGCTTTGCTTGGGTTCTCATGGCCCCCAACCCCCCTCCCCCCAACCCCCACAAGGGCCCCCTGCAGCCTGTGCCCCCGCCAGCACCCTTTCCCTGGAGAGAGTTCACTTCCCCAGAGCTGATGGGCAGTGCCCCGGCTACAGGAGCCCCTGCCTGCACTGCTGTCTGGGGGCAGGTGCAGGCTGAGGGGTGTGCCCGTGCCCCTCCCCCTTCACCTCCCCCTCCCCCGGAGCTGTCACGTCTCAGCAGCACGGGCCCAGAGCGGCCTGGGGGTGTGCAGGGCTGTGTTTGGCACAGGTCACTGGCTGCACGGCCGGAGGCACCAGGACAAGAAGCCAGACTGGAGATGATGCTGCGGCCGGCTGCAGAGCCCGCGCTGCCAACTGCCCGTGGGTGTGGGTCGCTCCGTCCATCCCAGGGCGCTGTGCCTCCTCGGGCCCCACGCCCAACCCACGCCTCCTTCAGAGCCGAGGGAGGTCCTCAGTCCCCAGCCCCCTCCTCCCACCGCCGCCCCAGCCTGCCCCCAGCCCTCGGCAGCCTCTCAATCTAAGTGACAGCTGCCCTCAGCCAAGTCAGCTCAGATTAATTCCCAGGCATCCAGCGGCCTGGCCCAGCCGCCCCAGTGGCTTCAGCCTGCAAGGGGGGCCTGGCCGGGTCCTTCCTGAGTGCTGGCGGGGGGGGGGGGGTGTCAGGCACACACACACACACACACACACACACACACACACACCCCTGCTCCTCTGGAGCCCCGGCCAGGCCTCCTGCCCTGTGGGTGGGGGGAGCGTGGCACAGGGGCGGGCTTGTCCCGGGCTGGGAGTCTTAGGGTTCCGTGCCCGAAAGTCAGGGCGTGGATCTCAGAGAGGGAGAGAGACAGAAAGAAAAAGAGAGGTAGGGACAGACAGACAGACACTCTGGCCTCTGTGGTGTTAACAACACACGCTTTCACATCAGACAGCCCTGGCCGTGCCGCTGGCCAGCTGCGTGGCCCTGTGTCTGTGATGTTCCCTCCCTGACCCTCCGTGTCCTCTGCTGCCGAGTGGGCTGGTGCATCAGGCCAGCCTGTCCCTGGCTGCTGAGCGGCGCGTGGCCGGTGTCCCCCGTTGGGTCCCTGGGGCTGACGGCACAGGGATGTGCTCAGCTTTGTTCTGTCCTCTTCCCGGCTGTCACAGGACTCGGTGGCCGGACATTGTCATGGATGGACGAGCAGAGAAGGGGCAGGGATGCCAGCAGGGCTAGGCTGAGGGGCTGGCCGGTCCCCTGGGCTTGCCTGTGTGGCCCCTGTGGGGTACCCAGGCTGCTGGCCACCAGCCCTCAATTCCCTGGTCCCCGGGGCTTAGGTTGAGCTGTTTCCTTCTGCCTCACTTTGGGAGGGGACTCTCCTCAGCCTCGGGTGACATCTGATTGCCCCAAAGGGACAGAAGCAGGCAGGGGATTGTGCATCACTTTAGAGAAAACCAAACAGGTCCAGAGAGGGGGAGTGACTTGTCCAAGGTCACACAGGAGGCAAATGACAGAGCTGGGATGAGAACAGGAAATCCTTATGCGATACTGGGAAGTAGAGAGCATGCCTGAGCTGCACAGACATGGCTGCCCCGGGGGGGGGCTCCTGGCCCAGCTCCTGTGACTTCCTGGAAGGATTGTCCCCCCGCCCCCGCCGCCCTGCTTCCGGGGTGGGAGGCTCAGACCTTGCAGGTTCACCTTCCCCAGGTCACGGAGCTGAGGGGCAGACCATGGCGGGGGTAGAACCCAGGCCTCTGAGCCGGGAGCTGGAGGAACCCCAGGTTGCCACGTGTGTGTGGGAGGCGGCACCGTGGGGGAGGGGGCTGAGGCTCTGCTTCTCGGCTTGCTCCGTGGTCCTGTGGTCTCTCGGTTGCTGCTGCCCACACCTGGCTGAGATTTGCTGTTCCTTCTCTGTCCCAGAGTCAGCGAGGACCCCAGGGGGAGGGGGCGGGGCCCAGCACTGCACGAGGACAGCCCGCCCTCCCTCCCTCCCTTCCCTCCCTCTCCCTCTATCTCTCCCTCTCTCCCCCTCTCCCTCTCCCCCTCTCTCTCCATCTCTCTCCCTCTCTCCCTCCCTCTCTCTCTCTCTCCCGCTCTCTCTCTCCCCCTCTCGCTCTCTCTTGCTCTGCCTTTCAAGTAGCTAAAAACAAACATTAAAAAAACTAGTGCATGGAAAATGGAAGGAAATAATTAACGTTTATTTCAGTGCAAAAAAAATTTGCTTTTGAAATGCGTGCCTGTGAAGAGCTTCCCGAAGGGCTCAGGAGAAGCATCCCGTGAGAGATTGTGCGTGGGCTTCCAGGGTGTTCACACCAGGGCCAGCGCAGCTGTCCATTCCAGGTTCCTGTGCCGGTCGGGGTGTGCTCTCGCATGGCTGGGGCGGGGCGGCTCGCGGCGCAGGGGACAGTGCTGGGACATGAGGCGGGGGACCCTAGAGGGCGGCAGGCCAGGTTGTGTGACACCACAGGTTCTGTCCTGGGAGCACTGGGGAGCTATGGAAGGTGGTAGCAGGTGCTTCGAGAACCTCACTGGGCTCACAGTATAGAAACAGAGAACGGCCACTCATGGGGACCTGGCGGGCCAGCCTCTTGGTCTCTGGGGCAGGGCTGGCTTTGGCGTGCGTGCCCAGCCCTGGTTGGAGATGCAGAAATAGGAGCCGTGGCAGTCCGGGCTCACGGATGGGGTTGGGGTTGGGGTTGGACTTAAGGGACTCCTGGGCTGCAAGGGACAAAGGCGTCAAGAGGAGGTGGCCCGATTGAGTGACAGCTGTCACGGAAACCCAGTGTCCCCAACCCCCTCTTCCCTCCCCCTCCCCCCCAGCCAGGTCCAGATAAAGGAGAAAGCAAAACGCATTTCCCTTTGTTGGAAGGTTGAGTGGGGTGAGGGGCCCTTTGCTATTGTGTGCTGGGCCCACACTGCTCCAAGTGAGAAATGCGCTCGGAATTCCAATTCCCCTGCTCTGCCTGGGATGGAGCCCGCCCTGGACACACCCCCATCCCCTCCAGCCTCGGCAGGCAGGGACAGGAAGCTGGCCGGCCCTTCCAGTGTGACACAGGGGGCCAGCAGTGCCCACCACGGCTGCCGGCAAAGCCTATGGCTGCTGGAGAACGGAGGAGGAGGGCAGACCTGAGGCTTGAGGGTTCATAGGCGTCCTCCTAGCAGCCTGAGAGGGAGGTTCTGTGACTTCCTGTTACAGCCAGGTTTGCATCTCGCCCAGGAGCCCATGGTCTGGGCACTGCTGCCCCATACCCTTGGCCTTGCCCTGGTGGATAGGGCTTGGGGAGGTGGTGAGCAGGAGGCCACAGGTCCCCTTCCCACGGGGTCCTGGGTAGAACAGCGGCTGGCCACGCTTTGGCGGCCATGGGAGGTGGCAGTGGCTCCCCATGTGGCTCAGGACACCTGTGCACGCACGTGGCTCACCCAGATAGGATCCCGGTCCCAGGGTGACTAGTGCAGAGCAGGCTGATGCCGAGGTCTGTTTTGCTGACTTCAAAGACACGCCGGTCCCCCGTGGGCAGCAGCTCCGGAAGCAAAGTGAACAAGGCAACACCCCCTGGTGAGCGCCTGCACATCCCCCTCCGGCCTCCACCGCGGGCAGCCGTGGCCAGCGGGAGGGTCGCCTGCCCTCCCCATCAGTGCCCCAGCCGGGTCCCTCTCGCAGCCTGGCCAGCGACAAGGGCAGGCGGCACTCACGGCCAGCGCTGGCGGCAGCGCACCGCGTGCCAAGTGCTTTCCACGGATCATTTCACTTAATCCCTCTAACTGCCTCCCCGACGGCCAGCCCCATTCTTTTCCCACCCCGTTCCTTAGAACTCGGGTTCTGAGAGCGGGAGTGATGTGCACGCCAGTCCCTTGCACTGAGAATGGCCGCCACGCTCCTTGCAGAGCCGTGCCAGGGAAAACACGGCTACTCATGCACCTGCTCTCTCCCGGGTCTCTCTCCCCTCCCTGGCACCCACCGTCCCCGTGGTGGACTGAGAAACGCTGGAGACAAAAATCCAACGCCTGCAAAATTGGATGCGGGGCTGAGGGAGGGGGTGGCGGGGTGGGAGGAGGGGCTGGGGGGCTCTGCAAGGATTTGTGTACCTGAAGAGAGGGTGGGGAGAGGTCTTGGGGAGGAGGAATGGCAGGGGCATCCCGGCTCCAAGTTCCACCTTGCACACGGGGTGTGAGGCCCTGCACAGCCTGAACCTGCTGAGGACCACACGACGGGAGGGGCGGGGGGAGTTTGGAGATGAGGACACAGCTGACCCCTTCCGGGTCCCCACACGTGCAGTGTCGCCGGCTCTTTCTCCTGTGTGACCTCCTAGGCTGCTCTGAGCCAGGCCCCACCAGGAATGCCCATCTCTGAGTTCTAGATGGGGAAATTGAGGCTGAGAATCCTGGGCTGAAAGAAGACCTGGTGACCCAGCTCCAGGGGATCCCTGGGCGGTTCCCTGCCCTGTGCAGCCTCAGTCTTCCCATCCATCAAATGGGAATGGGGGTCACTTCACAGTCAGCGCCCAGGCCCAGACCGAGTGCCCCTTGCCCAGACAGACCAAGGTGACGGGGAAGATGGGGATAACACCTTGCACGGTGGCTGGTGGTGCCAGGCACTCGGTAATCGCAGGGTCTCCTCCCGACCCCAGGAGCCCCCCACCCCCACCCGCCCCCAGCCCTGGGGTCAGAGGGCTTCAGCACAGCTGGGGCAGGCCGTGACTTGAGGCGGCTTCCGGGGGCAGCCGGGGGAGCCGCCGGCCTCGGGCGTGTTGGGTCCCCCCCCCCCCCCCCCCCCCCCCCGCCGCTGCCGCCCGCCCCACCTCCCCAGCTGGAATGAATCCGGCGGAGAGAGGATCAGTTTGGTCATGCTCGGCTTGTCAAGAACTGACGCAGAATATTCTGTCTCAAACATCAGCTTCCCCAGGGCTGGCGCGGCTGGCTGGCTCGTCCCAGGCAGAGGCTGGGGCAGCCCCGGGCCCCCTCCGAGCGTGGGGAGACAGCTCATCCTGCTGCTGGGGGATGGTGGGATTGGATACCACAGGGGCCCCGGCATGCCCTCCCTAAATCCACCCCAGCCAGGCGGCACAGCGGCTCTGGCCTGGCCGCTTCTAGATCCTAGGAGCTTTGGCAATGGTGGGTGGGTCTCTACCCCTCGCCCAGCAGACTCCGCCCCCCAATGGCTCCACAGCCTCTGCTGTCCTAGTGTGAGGCTCGGGAAACTTCCTTCCACCTTCCTGGAGCTGGGCGGGCGGGAGCTGTCCCCTCCAGCCTCTGTCTTCCCCTCTGGGAGTGAGCACCAGGAGCCCCATGTCCCGTGCGTGCAGTGAAGGAATGGGGTGCTCTCTGGCCGGAGCTGCCCGGGGCCAGCCCGGCTCTTGCATCCTGGGAATGCCGCTCCTTCTGGTGGGGGTGGGTGCACAAGGCAGCGGTGTGGATCCGGGAGCAGGGGCGTCGGGGCGTACTGGGTGCCGGGGGAGCCTGCACAGCCCCCCAGGCAGGCAGCCCTGCGTGCGGCGTTGGCAGCATCCTGGCTCAGCAGCCCTGCAGCCTTCACTCAGCATCTCAGCTTCCCCATCTGTGAAATGGGGCAAAGACTCCAGTTTCATCACCAGGAGTCTGTGCACGTGACCACTTCCCCAGGAAGGTGGGGGCGCGAGACTCTTAGGGGCTCCTAGGGAGCTGCAGGGGCCCCTTACCTCCCCTGCTGACCCGTCCCCGTGCCAGTGACAGGGGGCGCTCCCTGCGTGCCCCGGGGGGATGGCATTGTCCCTGCTTTACCAGGGTGGGGGAACTGAGGTTCATTCAGAGTGGCAAAGTGGCCCCCAACCCCCTTACTCACAGCCTGGCCCCACTGCCCGGGCCCCACCCGCAGGGAGGGTTGTCTCTGGCTTCGCTCTGCTCCCGCTTACTCCTGGAGGGTGTGGTGGGCAGGGCGACTCCTGCTTGGCACAGGGCCCTGGCCGGGCTCGCACGGAGCGTGGAGGGCGGGCCGGCGGCAGAGGTGGGGGCAGGCTCCGGGTGTGCTCCCTCGGCCCCCGTTCCAGCTTTGCTGGCTTCCAGCCCCCCAGCCTCTCTCCAAACCCCTGCCTGGCTGTGCGGCCTCGGCTGACTCACCTGCTCTCTCTGAGTCAGGCTTCAGGGAGGGGGGAGGAGAGCGCTCGTGGGCAAGGGCGTGGAAACATGGCATGGGGCGATGCATTTCTTTCGGTGCAGGCAACTTGGGAAATCGTGTCGCTATTGCATAATACGCGGCGTCCGCAAAGGTCTCAGGGCCTCTCGTAGGCTTGGGTTCCGAGACCCCTTGCGCTAAGGTGAACATCTTTGGGTTCCATTTCCCATGAACGCCCCTGCCCTCAGCGCCCGAAGTCTTTTCCTGCAAAAACTGGGCTGGCTTGGTCAGGGTCCCCAGAGTCTGGACAGCACTTTACAGTTTACACGTCACCGGCCTGGTTGAGTCATGGGCACCCCTGTTTCAGAGGCGGGCACTCGACTCGGGTCCCTTCATGCAGCCAGAACCCCAGACTCCAGGGTGTCCAGCTGTGCGACCCCAGAAAAGCTTCTGGGGCTCTCTGGGCTGCAGAAGCCTCATGTAGGGTGGAGGCCCAGAGGCTGAGCCTGGCGGGGAGGGTGGGGGTGGGAGGCCCCGGCAGGAGGCACAGGAGGGTGGGGGTCCTCTCAAAGCCCCCTCTGAGCCTCAGCCCCCGCCCTCTCTGGCGAACTCCTACACATCCTTTGGTGTCCTTTCCAGGAAGCCCTCCTGACTTGACTTCACGTCTAGCTCACCCTTTGGCAACCCAGAGTTTATCCTGCCCGCTTCTGCCCTTTCCCAACAACAGGGGTCGGGGCGGGGGCTCCTGGGGGCCCGAGGCCTCACAGCAAAACCCGGGGTGGCGTTCCCAGCCAGGAAGCGGGGTGGCACAGATGTCCACTGACGCCCCCTTTCTCTTCTTTCTCCACAGCCCACGACCTCCCCGCGAGCAAGGGGTCAGCCTCACAGCCCGGCAGCCATCTGCAGTGCCTGTCCGTCCACTGCACGGACGACGTGGGCGACGCCAAGGCCCGTGCGTCCGTGCCCACCTGGAGGTCCCTGCACTCTGACATCTCCAACAGATTTGGGACGTTTGTGGCCGCCCTGACTTGAAGCGACGACGAGAGAGACCCCTCCCCAGCCAGGCCCTGCCCTGCCCCCACCCCTCCACCCTTGTCCATCTGAAAGTGCCACTCCCACCGAGTGGCTGATGGTGATTTTTTTTTCCTAGGTTGGTACCTGCTTGGTGGCGTCTGGACCGGAAGGGGTTAATTTAAAGGGGAGATAGAAACCCCCCACCCCCTGCAAAAGCTTTTTTTTTTTTTTTTTAAGAAACTGTCAAGGCCACCGACAATGTCACCAGTGTTAACCCTTCTGCAGTTAGCAACTTTTGCTTCAGCCTCTGTGCCCGCTCTCCGTAAGCTCGGCCCCTTCTTTCTACACCTTCTTTCTCGTTTTACTCCCGCTGCTCTGTGTCCACCGCTACTGCATAATCAGACGCGAGCCGCCTCCCTTTTTATTCTCTTTTACTTTCTCTCTTTCGTCTCCCCGCCCCCTCCTCCTCCTCCTCTCTCTTGCTCTCTCTCTTTTTCCTTTGTTCACTGCTTGTTAAAATGAAAATCTTGGAGGATAGTACTTCTGGAATATTGCCAGGTGAAAGTCAAATTGTCATCATGATATTATATATTGACACCCAACTGTCATCAGTCAGACAGGAGCCCAACAATTAATGGCCCCCTTACGTATTGTGCCTGGGGTTTTGTGTTGTCTGTGCCCTGAGAGAATAGATGGATTTTTGTTCCTACAAACACAGCACTCAGCCCTCAGTCTCCTTCCCTTCCACACTCTCTCCTGCTGGAAGCTGGCTCTCGGCAGCCGACACAATGATGCGTCCAGCCTGCTCTGGGAGAGGGAGTTGGAATGTTCTGGAATGTTCCACAGTGGTGTTTTTCTCCCCCTTTCTGGGCCTCCCAGCAAGCTTCCAGGCTCCACATTTGTGCACTCCATGCAGAGCAGCCTTGGGTGTGCATGGTGGGGGTGGTGACTGCCCTTCCTGCGTACGCACACTTTGGGCAGGGGTGGGGGTGGGGAGGGCTACAGGCTCAGGCCCTTGCTGCAACACCGGGCTGGCTCATCCCTGGAGCTGTGGGAAGATGGAGTCTGCGCTCTCGCCCTTTCCTGGCCTGGCATCCTGGGAAAGAAGGAGGGGGCCAAGTGTGCCTCCCCCACCCTGGGCAGCCTCTGTCCCTGGGTCCCCTCCCCCAGGCTCAGCCTGCAGGGTCCTGCAGCCCCATCCCGCCCGGTTCTCCTTCTCTTAGCCTGGCTTCCCTGCCGGGGTCTGTGGTCTGCAGAGCTGGAGGAGTGGGAAGAAGAAGGACATCACTTCCTAGCTTTTAGTTTTTAATCCCAGAACTCCCACCGGCCTGTGGAGTCAGTCCCACCTGGTTGCAAAAGTCAGAGCCATGCACCCATGCGGCTTCTCCTTGGGTGCTGTCGGCGCCTGCAGACGTTTGTGGGGGCTCGGGGTGGGGGGGGGGCAGAGCTGCCAGGGAAGGTGAGACCACGAGCAGCCGGTCCCAGCGCCTCCCCCCACCCTTGACCTTGGCGTTTCTGTCCGTTTTGTTCCGAGCAAGCTCCATCTTGAGTCTCCCTCTGCCCCGTGGCCCAGCGGCCGTAGCCTGGCTGCTTCCAGTGCTGACCTGAGGGCTTTGGGCTGATACACAGCTCCGACAATGTTCAGTTCACAGTACCTTTCAGCAAAGAGAGAGAAGCTTCCAGAAAACCCCTCTCCCCCCACCCCTCTCTCTTTCTCTCTGTCTCTCTCCCCTCCCTCCTGCTTCCCGTTCCTTGGCCGGGTGCGGTTCTCGCCTGGGCAGTCTGACGGGGGCGGCGCCGGCTGCCGCCAGGAGCAGGTGGCACGCAACGCACCGCACGCGTGGGGAGAGCAGGGAGGGAGTCTCGCCCGGGCCGCCCGGCCACGTTTGAGCAGAACTCCACCTCGCCTCCCGCGACTCCGCCACCCTTCGAGAGCTTCCTCACTTCCCTTTCGAGAAAACAGGACTGAGTTCCCCGTGATTGCTTAAGGCGGGGGAACAGAGCGTCTCCTGCCTTTGACTTCCCCAGCCCACGTGGAGGAGGCGTCGGCCGGCAGCTCCCCGGGCTCGGCAATCCTGGAAGCCCCCCAACTTTGCAACGTTCTTGCTCCTTGCCACCCCGGATCGGAGCAGCTTTAACAATCGCCTTAAGCAAACGGATGTCATTTCAGTCGGTTTGGTTCAATGGAAGGAGTAGCAGCAAATGGGACAGACACCCGCCGCCCGTAGATCCATCCTGCGTAGCAAACTCTTCGGGAAAGAACACGAAAATGGTATTGCACATGTAAAATATGAAAACTTAACTCTACTGTGTGTTAAGCAATCCTGTAATCTTTTTTGACTTTTAAAAGAAATTCATTTCTGAAATGCTTGGTTGGAAGACTGTGACAATAGCTCATGAAATTGAGTGTTATTTTTTCTTTCTTTTTAAAAAAATATGTAAAGTGCAGTCTTCTGTATCCACGCATATTGTATATACCTGTATATGTTTTCCTGAGCAGCTAAAGAACAATAAATATGACCTTAACGGTGACTGTGGTACGTTTGTGGGTGGGGCCTGCTTTTGGTTTTCCCCGCCCCCTCCCCCTTTCCATTAATCTCT